AGGTTGAATAGAAGTGGTGAAAGTAGACATCTTCATTTTCTTCCTGATCTTAAAGAGAAAGCTTTCAGTCTTTCACCATTAAGGTATGATGTGAGCTGTGGGCTTTTCATATAAAAATATCCTTCAACAGGCTGGGTGAGGTGGCTCTACCTGTAATCCCAGCACTTAGATCCCAGCACTTTGGGAGGCCAAGGCAGGTGGATCACAAGGTCGACAGATGGAGACTATCCTGGCCAACATGGTGAAACCCCATCTCTACTAAAAATGCAAAAATTAGCTGGGCCTGGTGACACATGCCTGTAATCCCAGCTACTCGGGAGGCTGAAGCGGAAGAATCACTTGAACCCAGGAGGCGGAGGTTGCAGTGAGCTGAGGTTGTACCACTGCGCTCCAGCCTGGTGACAGAGAAAGACCCTGTCTCAAAAAAAAAAAAAAAAAACTGAGGATGTTCAAATCCCTTATGTAAAATGGTATAATATTTGCACCTACACACATCCTCCCATATATTTTAAATCATCTCTAAGTTACTTATAATACCTAATACAATGTAAATGCTATGTAAATAAGTATTATACTGTATTTTTAAAGCTTGTATTTTTTGTTGTATTGTTATTTTTTATTGCTCTTTCCCAAATATTTTATATCTGTTGTTGATTTAATCCCTGGATATGGAAGCTTCAGAGACAGAGTGCCCACTCTATGGCCTTTATCATGTTGAGGAAGTTTCCTTCTGTCTTAGTCTGTTTTGTGCTGCTGGAACAGAACACTTGAAACTGGGGAATTTATAATGAGCAGAAATTTTTAGGCTCATGCTTCTAGAGGTTTGGAAGTCCAAGCTGGCATCTGGTGAGGGCCTTCTTGATGTGTGATCCCACGGTGGAAGGCAGAAGGGCTAGAGAGAATAAGAAGGAGCAAGAGAGGAAGAAACAAACGTGAAGCTTCAAGCCCTTTTATGATTGGCATTAATCCATTCGTGATGGTAGAGCCCTGATGACCTACACACCTCTCGTTGGGCATTCTCTCTCAGTACTGTTACATTGGGCATTAAGTTTCCAATACATGCTTTTTGACACATTCAAACCATAGCATCTTCTAGACCTAATTAATTGAATGTTTATATCAAGAAAGGAATTTGACATTTATCAAATGCTTTTTCTGCATCAACTGAGATGGCTATGTAATTTTTTTCCTTCATCTTATTAATGCAGTATACTTCCTTGATAGATTTTTTTCATTTTTACATGTTGAACCATCCTTGTATTCCAGGAATAAATCAATCTATAATTCTTTTAATATGCTGCTGAATTTGATTTGTTAGTATTTTGCTGATTTTTCCATCAATATACATAAGGAGTATTGGTCTGTAGTGTTCTTTTCCATTTTTCTCTTTTTGCAGACACAAGGTCTTGCTGTGTTGCCCAAGTGATCTTGAATTCCTGGCCTCAAGTGACTCTCTTGCTTGTCTCCCAAAGTGGTTTTCTTTTCTTAAAGCGTCTTTGTCTGACTTTGGAATCAGAGTGAAGCTGACCTCATAGAATTAGTTATGGAGTGTTCCCTCCTCTTCAGTTTTTTTGGAAAAGTTTGAGGAGGATTGGTATTATTTCTTCTTTAAATGTATGCTAGAATTAATCAACAAAGCTATCTGGTCCTGAGCTTTTCTTTCCTGGGACATTTTTGATTAATGATTTAATCTTCTTACTAGTTATTGGTCAGGTTTTTTATTTCTTTGTGATTTAGTTTTGGTAGATTGCGTTTTGGGAATGTTTTCATTTCATTTATCCAATTTGTTGGTATACAGATGTTCATAGTATATTCTTATATTCCTTTTTATTTCTGTAAAGTTCATGGTAATGTCCTCACTTTCAGTCCTGATAATAGTAATTTGAGTCTTGTTTTTGTCAGTCTAGCTAGCTTCGTCATTTTTATTGGTCTTATCAGAGAATCAACTTTGGTTTTCTTGATTTTTCTCCACAGTTTTTTGATTATTTCATTTGTGTTCACCGTAATCTTTATTATTTCCTTCCTTCTGTGACCTTTGGGTTTAGTTTGCTCTTCAATCTCTCTGGTCTTTACTCTTTCCTTTTCTCATTCCTTAAGTTGTAATGTTAGGTTACTGATTTAAGATTTTTTAAAATATATGCATTTGCAACTGTAATTTGCCCTCTCAGCATTGCTTTTGCTGCATCCCAGGTTTTGGTGTGGTATAGGGTCTTTGTGTGTGTGTGTGTGTGTGTGTGTATGTGTGTGTGTCTGTGTGTATGGTTTTCTCATGTAATTTTCTAATTTCCCTCATGATTTCTTTTTTGATCCATTGGTTGTTTGTTTGAGACAGAGTCTCACTCTGTCATCCAGGCTGGAGTGCAGTGGTGCAATTTCAGCTCACTACAACCTCCACTTCCCAGGTTGAAGCAAATTCTTGTGCCTCAGCCTCCCAGGTAGCTGGGATTACTGGTGTGCATCACCATGTACGGCTAATTTTTGTATTTTTAATAGAGATGGGGTTTCGCCATGTTAGCCAGGCTGGTCTCGAACTCCTGGCCTTAAGTGATCTGACTGCCTCAACTTCCCAAAGTACTGGGATTACAGGTGTGAACCACCACGCCTGGCCTCATTGGCTATTTAATTTTATCATATTTGTGAGTTTTTCAGTTTTCTATTATTGATGTATGTCTTCATTCTATGTGATCAGAAAATATTATTGTATGATTTTAACCTTTTTAAATATTTTAAAACTTATTTTTGGCCAGGCGTGTTGGCTCACACCTGTAATCCCAGCACTTTGGGAGGTCGAGGTGGATGGATCATGAAGTCCAGAGATCAAGACCATCCTGGCCAGTCTCTGCTAAAAATACTAAAACATTAGCTGGGCGAGGTGGCACACCCCTGTAGTCCCAGCTGCTTGGGAGGCTGAGGCAGGAGAATCGCTTGAACCCAGGAGATGGAGACTGCAGTAAGCTGAGATCGCACCACTGCACTATAGCCTGGGCAACAGTGTGAGACTCTGTCTCAAAAAACAAATAAATAAATAAAACTCGTTTTGTGGCCTATCTAGGGGAATGTTTCATGTGCACTTGAGAAAAATGTCTATTCTCTATGATTGGAGATAGTGTTCTATATATGTCTACCAGGTATAATTGGCTTATGGTGTTGCTGGAGTCCTCTCGTTCCTCATTTATCTTCTGTCTGGTGGTTCTATCTCTTATTGTAGGTGGTGTTTTGAAGTCTCCAAATACAGAGATATCTATTTCTCCCTTCAATTCTGCCAGTGTTTGCTTCGTACATTTTGAAGCTCTGATATTTGGTGCATATATGTTTATAACTGTTACATATTCTTGATGGATTTATCCTTTTATTAATACATAATATGCTTTTTAATCTCTTGTCACAGTTTTTACTTACAGTCTATTTTGTCTGATATTAGTATAGCTACCTCAGCTCTCTTTTGGTTACTATTTGTATAGGATTTTTTTTACATCCTTTCATTTTCAACCTCTTTGTGCCTTTAGATCTGAAGTGAGTCTTTTGTAGACAGCATATAGTTGTATCATGTTTGAAAAATCCATTCTGCCAATCTATGCCTTTTGATAGGAAAGTTTGGCTGGGCATGGTGGCTCACGCCTGTAATCCCAGCACTTTGGAAGGCTGAGGCAGGCAGATCACCTGAGGTCAAGAGTTTGACACCAGCCTGGCCAACATGGTGAAACCCTGTCTCTACTAAAAAAAACCTGCAAAACTAGCCAGGCATGGTGGCACATGCCTGTAATCCCAGGGAGAATTGCTTGAACCCAGGATGAAGAGGTTGCAGTGAGCCGAGATCCGGCCATGGCATTCCAGCCTGGGCAGCACAGCAAGACTCCATCTCAAAAAAAAAAAAAAAAGAAAGTTTAACCTATTTACATTTGAAGTAACTGCTGACAAGGAATGCATTACTACTGCCATTTTGCTATTTTTTTCCTGTATGTCTTGTAGCTTTTTTGACCCTCATCTATTCTGTTACTGCTTTCTTTTGTATTTTGTTGATTTTTTTAGAGTAACACATTTAGATTCCCTTCTCATTTTCTTTTGTGTTATGTTCTCTAAATATTTAATTTGTGTTTTCCCCTCTGTCCATGGGGAAACAGGACAAGCTGCCACAAGTCTGTAAGGTGACGCACTTGTTCAGTCCCCTGGCTCAGTCCCCGCGGGGATCCTGTGCCCCATCCTCTCCATGCCCTCCCATCGTCACTCCGCCGCTCAGCCTTAAAGATCTGTCATTCTAAGAATCATTCTTAATGGAACAGAATGGTACAATGATGTTTAATGGTGATTCTGGGGGAAAAAAAGGCAAGTGAAAAGCATTTCTAACTCTGGGAGAACTCACTGGTTTACTGTTGGTAGAAGCTTCTTAGGACCTTGAAGACACATTGTGTCCCATGGTGATGCCAGCACAGGCCACCCTGAGCCCTGTGTCCCTGTATCTGTGCCACTGTGAAGATCTGCAGAGCCCACGTCTGGGCATTCTCGATTTTGAACTCCGGAGCTCAAGTGGTCCACCCACCTCAGCCTCCCAAAATGCTGGCATTACAAGCGTGAGCCATCATGCCTGGTCTGAGCCACTGCGCCTGGCCCTGGGCATTCTGAGCCACCTGTGTCACCTGTGCCTTCCGCAGACATCAGCTGTTTCCTGATGGCCCTGCAGGTAGCCCTTGAAAAGTGGATTCTTAGCCCCTCTGAGTTTGTTTTCTGTGATAAGCTCTGTGAAAGTGGGTTTCCACCACAACCCCTCACTTCGACCCTCTGACGAGGCGGGTTGGCAGGAGGCAGATTGGCAGGCCAGGGGCAGCTCTCAGCTGTGCAATGTGCACCACACAGGCTGGGATGGCTGTGACCCTGCAGATGTACCCTCTTGGTGGGCACCCTCCTCAGGGGCGATGCCCTCCTGTGGTCAGTGTCAGCATGAGGCTGCTGTCTCTGGTCCCCTTGGGCTGTGCTGGCTCATACACCTGTGCTCTCTGTTTTAGATCAGACCTACTGCGACCGCCTGGTGCAGGACACGCCTTTCCTGACAGGCCACGGGCGCTTGAGTGAGCAGCAGGTGGACAGGATCATCCTCCAGCTGAACCGCTACTACCCACAGATCCTTACCAACAAGGAGGCGGAAAAGGTGCTGAGGAGGTGAGGGGGGTGCCCGAGACACTGTGCAGTTTCCCTTCCTTTCTGGGCTGGGAGAAGCTGGTGACCGGCCCTGGGTCATTCTCTCACAGGACGACACACTAGGTATGTCAGGATTCAGAGGTGACACATCTGGACCTGGCTATTAAGGCTGCCTGAGCTATAAACTGGCCCTTTGGGGTAAGCCCAGATGAGATCAGAACATCATCAGGTCTCTGTGCCTCGGTTTCTTCATATGTAATTGGGCTTGCTGTCCCCTTCCCCAGTGGCCGGGAGGGTTACAGGAGATAACACGTGATGACACACGAAGCACACGACAGTATAAGACGCGGTAGGTGGGAGAGACGAGACAGGGGATGAGAGGGAAGGCTGAGGAGGGAGGGGCAGAGGGAGAGCTGAAGTGGGATGGGGACCAGAGGTTGGGCCTGGCCCACCCCAGTGCCACAGGGCTTTGCACTCTGCATCTTCCGAAGGTTCAAAGTGGGCAAATGTTGCTTCCTTTTCTCTAATTTCTACGTTGCTGTACGAGGCTGGAAAGCCCAGCATGTCACAGGTAGGCAGCCCAGCATGTCACAGGTAGGCAGCCCAGCATGTCACAGGTAGGCAGCCCAGCATGTCACAGGTAGGCAGCCAAGCTTCTAGGCAAGCAGATGCTGACCCACAGCCGCACCTCACTCTGCCCCTCTCAGCAGTGCTGAGCCGGTTGGTCCCCCAAGAGCCCCAGCTTCCCCATGGTGGAGTGGACGCCTTGAGCCCTGGGCTGGCAGGTGTGGTGAGGACTGGCTGAGCTGAGCCAAGTAAATGCCTGCCCAAGAGCCCTCGTCCCTAGACGGCCCTACAGCCCTGTCAGCAGCCATGCTCATCACCCATTTCACAGAGGTGGTCCCAAGGCCCAAGAGGCAGCCACTTGCCCAGGTCACTCATCTCAGGAGTGTCAGGTTACATCCTGAGTTCATCCTATTACATGGGAAAGTGCTCAGGGCCAGTGGCTGTCACTCTGTCCCATGGCCCTGGCCTCTCAGAGCTGCAGAGCTGGGCACACCAGGGTGGCTCTGCTGGAGATGGCATTTAAGATGCAATTCCTGGGTTCTGTCCTGGGAGGTCTGTTCTGCCCATCCCCCCAGTGCCCAGTGGCCCTGAGGGGACATAGGATGAGAGAGTTGGGTACCCCCTGCCGGCCCCACCCATGTCTGTGGCTCTGGTGCCCCTGCTGAGCCAGTTGTTCCTTGACAGCCATCACCAAGACCAGAGGGATGGGCTGTGGGTGCCAGAGACTGCTAGGCCTTTGGGGTACAGGTCCTGCCAGCCTCTTTCCCCTCTGGGTGACTACAATTGAGTCCCTTCTCCTCTTGGAGCTGTCATTTCCTCACGTAGCAAGGGGTCATGATGCCACATGCAGGGCTGTCCTGAGGGTTGGAGCATTTCCTGGACCAGTGAGGTTGGCCCACAGCAGAACAGGAGTCAACACAGGCCCTGCTCCCGGCTCAGGTGCTGCTTCTGCTATGACGGTGGTACGGTCATTTTGCAAGTTAGGCGCTCAAATCCATCACTTATTATTGTAATTGAAGTCTAATACATGTTCACTTTTTAAAAGTTGAGAAAGTTTCAGATGTTTATACAAAGAAAAGCACATATTTCTTCCTCCCAGGCACCGTAGCTCCTGTCACCCATGTGTCTGCCATTTCCATACTGCCAGGGAATGGCAACTCCGGTTCCCTGTGGCCGTGTAGAATGGTATGTTGCCACCAGGTGGCAGCACCAGGCCACAGACTCCTGGTCCTACAGGTCAAGTCCCAGTGTGGCCTGTCCACTGACCTTGAGAACCACACATTTCTCTGTCAGACACATCAAAAGAGCCAATACGTTCATCAACCTTTTTTTTTTTTTTTCTGTTTTTTGTTTTGAGATAGAGTCTCTGTGGCCCAGGCTGGAGTGCAGTGGTGTGATCTCGGCTCAAAGCAACCTCCGCCTCCTAGCTTCAAGTGATCCTCTGGCCTCAGCCTCCCAAGTAGCTGGGATTACAAACATGTATCACCATACCTGGCTCATTTTTGGTACTTTTAGTAGAGACGGGGTTTTACTATGTTGGCCTGGCTGCTGTTAAACTCCCGGCCTGAAACTCCTGATCCGCCTGCCTCGGCCTCCCAAAGTGCTAGGATTATAGACATGAGCCATATAATGAGCTTCAACTTATGTTTTAAATACTTGAATCACAGAAGTCAGCACTTATGCCATCACTTCATTGATTCCTGCCGTAGCCTACCGTGTGGGTTCATTATCCCCTTTTTACAAATGAAGAAACCAAGTCTCAGAGGGGTAGAGTAGCTGGCTAAAGTCACACAGGAAGCCACGCTAAGTCCCAACACTTGGAATGATGTCACTGGCCCTGTGCTTTCCTTGTGACCGCTCCCATCCTCAGTTTCCCAACCTCCCGCCCCACAGGGAGTATGAGGAGTAGCAGTGATACCTGCGACAGAGGCAGTGCCAGGCGCTGTGGTGTGTGGGTGGCGGGCAGGGTGTCACAGGGTCCAGCAGGTATCCTGACACCCGATGGGGAAGCTGAGGCTGGGGGCCTGAGCCTGGCACTCAGCCCTGCCCCACAGCCAGCCCCTCTTGCCTGATCCTCCCTGGCACCCCCTTGTACCCTCAGTTCCGGAACCCCAAGGCGTCCTTGCGTGTGCGGCTCTGTGACCTCCTGAGCCACCTGCAGCGGAGTGGCGAGCGGGACTGCCAGGAGTTCTACCGAGCCCTGTACATCCACGCCCAGCCCCTGCACAGCCGCCTGCCCAGCCGCCACGCTCTGCGTAAGTTTCACATCGCCAGCCACGCATGCTTGGTGCTGGCCCAGGGAGAGCACCCCAGCCTGCTGTTGATGGCATGGATGTCCTCCAGACCATCCAAGTCTGCTGCAGCCCAGGCCTGGCATCCCCTCTCACCCAGCCACTCGCTAGAGGCCACCCTGAGGGGAGAGTGTGGCAGGCTCAGGCAGTGCAGACGTCAGCCTCTGTCTCCACTCCCTCTCCTCCGTCTCTCTCATGGCAGTTTCCACGCAGAAGGGGGCATCCTGTACATCTACTCTTGCTCTTCCTTTTGTAGCCTCATTCCAGGGGGATCCCTTCATATCTACGTGGGTAGCAGCCTTGTTCCCACAGCTGCATGACGCTCCTAGGCGGTCCCAGCTGGAATTACCCAACCCCATGACAGGCCCTTTCATTGCAGCGATCTGCACACGTGCGGGTGTTTCCACAGGGCATTGCCGGGCACGGGTGGCTGGTCCCAAGCACGTGCATTTCGGTTTTGAGGTTCCTGTCCCCAGGCGGCATGCGGTCAGGCTCCGGGAGTCATGTGGATGCCAGTAGCCGGGGCCCTCAGAACTGCTAAGACCTGGGGGACACATCAAAGCGAAGATGGCAGCTTGGATCTGACGCCTCCATGCTCAGGGCCCTGGAGGACGGGTTGCTGCCCCTCGACATTCAGACAATAGGACAGAGACCAGAGGGACTGGACGGGGCTGGCTCATCCTAGGCTACTGGACTGGGGTCTCTCACCCCCTGGAGGCCTCCCAGCCTCCACAGGACACAATGCAGATGGTGGGCAGGGAGAGCTCAAGGGCAGGCCCAGCCCCAAAGGTAGGACTGTCTCTCCCTCCCCAGCCACGAGTATGCCTCAGGGGGCTTTCAGAACCAGGCAGGGCCAAGCCTTGGCCCTGCTGGAGGTAGAGCAGCTTCTATGGCTCCCAGGTGCCTAAAAGTCTCCAGCACGTCACAGGCTAGAGAGCCTCCCAGGGAGGCCTGGGCAGAAAGCTCCGGCCAACTGCACCCAGTGAGGCAGCCACCATGCTGACAGCACCCACGCTGTCCGCAGCTATGTTCGTGCCATGTTCGGTGCCTGTGGCCACCAGGGTGCAATGGCCCTCCGATGCCCATGGCCCTTGAAGTCACAAGAACTGGACCAGAGGAGAGAACCCAGACTGTGCATAGTTCCTAAGGAGGGCTGGCCTCATGTCCCACGGTCTGGTCCGGCCTGGCAGCCTCGGGAGGCAGTGATGGCCTGGGCTTCCTGCAGGGTGACCGGCTTGCCCTCTGGCCCTGCCCATTGACTGACTAACTGTGCTCTGTGGTTTTGTTTCCAGAGAACTCAGATTGCACAGAGCTAGACTCGGGCAGCCAGATCAGCGAGCTGAGTGACAGGGGTAACGCCTCCCTGCTGCCCCTCCCTCTCTCCCCCTCTCTCTTTACCCTCCCCAGGGCTCCATCTCCGCCTCAGGGGCTTCTCCACCCCGAGTCTGGCTCCATTCCTGGCCTTCTGTTGGTGACAGACCCCCTATGGTGCTCGCTTGGGGGCTCTTCAGGCAGCACCTCAGCCTGGCACCCCGACTCCCCTGCACAGCCCTGGGTCTCAGGACCCCACCCCTCTGAGGCCCAGGGGAGCCCTGTTCACACTGGCTTCTCCCCAGGACCCATGAGCTTCCTGGCTGGCCTGGGCCTTGCCGTGGGACTGGCCCTGCTCCTGTACTGCTATCCGCCAGGTGGGTGCAGGCGGACCCTCACGGGCTGGGCTTGCTTCCCCTCTGCCACCAAGCTAGGGCCCCGGACCCTGCCCAATTCAGGACCCCTTGGCCTCTCTGTACCTCAGTGTCCGTACTTGTGCAGTGGGATAGTGTCACCTGGCAGGGCTCATGAGAAATGGGATGTGAGGAGGCCCCCAGTGTCCACTGCCCCTAGCACCCTTGGGAACCAGAGAATGATGACCCTTAGTGGGAGGAGGGTGCAGCCAGGACTCCAGGTGTTAGAAGGCCCTGCCACACCTGTGACTTTGGCCACACCTCTGACCTTGAGCCATGTGGGGCCCTTGAGCAGGTCACATGCCCCAGGGCCTTGGGTCTCCACCAGCCACACCTGATGCAAGGAGCCTGCCAGGCCCCTCTGCTGGCACCTGGCCTGACCTGGCCTGTCTCCCCTTTTCTGTGATGCCTGAGTTTGTTGTGCTGGGAGGTCCACTGGGTGCAGGGACACAGGCACGCACGGCAGGACCCAAAGGCCCCTGGGGCACTTGGATGGGGGCTGGGGGGTCTGGAATCTGCCCAATTCTTGTCTTTTCAACTCAAGCCGAGACCATGACCGGGAAGGGCACCCTGCCCCAGTGCTCCCCCAACCCCCCCGTGGGAGGGATGAAAACAATTCACCTGTGGGACTGGCTTCCGAGCTTCTGCCTCCCATTTTGTCTTCTAGACCCCAAGGGCCTGCCAGGGACCCGGCGCGTCCTTGGCTTCTCACCTGTCATCATCGACAGACATGTCAGCCGCTACCTGCTGGCCTTCCTGGCAGATGACCTGGGGGGGCTCTGACACACCCCAGACCCAGGGCCTCCCCTGCCACTCAACCAAAGAGTCCTCCAGCCAGCCCAACAAGGGCTGCAGCTTCTTTTTCTAAATGCTTATTTTTCATTATTTATAATTTGTGTAAGAAACGCATCTTCACCTTACAAGGTGCTGACCCATATTAAATATTCAAGTTCCGTCAGCCTACCTCATTCCTCAACTTCAGAAGGGTTTCAGAGATTATTGCAGCTATGGCTGCTCCCCCTGGGGCTGGACCCTGGTGTTCCCGGCATCCCCAGCTGCTGGCATGATGTCAGACAGGAGCCCTCCACATGGGCTCACCTGCCTCAGATATAAGCCCCCAGGCAGCACCCCCAAACCTCAGATGGCCCCACACACACACTGTCCCCTCCCACCTCAGATGCCCCCACACACACACTGTCCCCTCCCACCTCAGATGCCCCCACATACACTGTCCCCTCCCACCTCAGATGCCCCCACACTGTCCCCTCCCACCTCAGATGCCCCCACACACTGTCCCCTCCCACCTTAAATGCCCCCCCACACACACTGTCCCCTCCTCCCACCTTGTGTGACACACACACACACACACACACACACACACACACACACTCTCTGGCCGCTGAGCCTGGGCAGAGACCTGATCTCTGCCTTGTCCGCTCTTCCCGGAAGCCTTTTTGTGGGGAAACAACAGTATTTCTCAACCCACAGAATCATCGTGAGTTTGCGTTTTCCAGGGGGTTTCTGGAGACACCCAGGCTTTGCCTCAGAAGGAGGCGGTAGAGGGGTGAAGCCACTGGAGGGGCAAGGGGATGGGCGCGGCTCCCGGAGGGGCCCTGCTCAGTCACAGGGTCACCGCACAGGACCGTGGGAACCAGGCTGCTGGTGGAGTATGGACCCCGGGCTGTGACCTCTGATTACCCAGCGGCCCTGCTGCTTTGGTCATCACAGTGCCTGCCCCTTCAGGGAACCGAGGGCTGGAGCAAGGAAAGCTAGGGCCTTGGAGCCCTCCCACCTGCTGGGCTGCCCCGTGCCCATGGTGGGGGGACAGCCGGGGGACAGCCCTGGCTGCTGTCTCCCTCCTCCACCCTGAGCCATGGGCCTGGGGCATGTGCTCCAGCCTCAGCCCATCTGCCCACCTGTAAAATGGGAGCCCTGCCCGGGACTCCTCCTTCAGCTGGGCTCTGTCCCAGCCCCCTCCCCCACAGAAATCCGGTTAGGAATTCACCTCCTGGTTCCAGCTGCGAAGAACTGTCACACACTTAGTGAAGGTGACAGATGTCTGGGTCAAGGGTGTAGACAGGCATGACTTGCCCCTGGAGGGTGATGGAGGGGTCTCCAGGGACACTAACATTCTATTACTGTGTCAGCTGAAGGCAGGAAACCTCCCAGGCAGCAGGACTCAGGCTGGTGTGCGGCCGGGCAGGTCCTTGGTGGCCCCACCTGAGGCCCTGGAGGACACACACACCTCCTCAGGGCTGCCTGACATGACCTGAGGCCCTGACTCCCCAGGCCCCTGGGCGGGATGTCATTCCTCAGTGAGGGGCCGCCTGGCCCTGGGACTGCTGCCTTGCCTGTCCATCTGTGTGCACCACCACCCTGCCCCACACTCAGCCACCCACAGCCCCATCTCTGACTAACTGGACTCAAGCCTGGGGCTGAGTCTGTGACATCCCCGACCATCAGCCAGGTCCCCTCTTGCATCTGCCGCCTTCAGCCTGGTGGGTCCCCCACAGGACCTCCCCTTTGAGGCTGGAGCCTGGAGGAGAGAAAACAATGGGCACTCACGTCTGGCCTCAGCCACCCATCAGGCCCTGCCCTGCCAACCACCGGGCCAACCAGTTCCCGTGACCAGCAGTGAACTAGGTCCTCCAAAGAGAGGAAGGCCCCTTTGGGCCCCCTTGAGTCCCCACCTCCACACCACACACGCAGATGGCGGTGTCCTGCACCTCCACACCTGTGCTGCGGGGGTTCAGGCAAAGACCCTGCTGCTCCCTCCACTTGGGACTCCTTACCAGCCCCACCCATCAACTCATCCTTCAGAGCTACCCGGAATGCCATCTCCTCCAGGAAGCCCTCATGATACCCCAGTAAGAAGAACAGTTTCCTCCAGGCTGCCACACCTGGACATGGGACGTTGTTCTCACATCCAGAACTGTGCCAGAAATGGTAGGGGATGCTGGGGTTGAGGGGACTCCCATTACCAAAGCTTCAGTGTGACAGAGGAGATGTGGGAGAGCTGAAGCGGTCATGCAGAGGGCTGTGAGGGACAGTAAATGAAGGAAAGGGGGTGTGAGGGAGGGAGCTTCAGTGTGGGAGGGAGATGAAGGAAGGGGAATGAGGGGGGTGGGGAGGAGGTGAGGGAGGGGGTAAGGGAGGGGTGAGAGAGGGGTGAGGGAAGGAGTTGGGGGCGAGGGAGGGGGTGAGGCAGGGGTGGGGAGGTGAGGGGGTGAGGAAGGGGTCTGAGGGAGGGGTGTTGGGAGGCCTAGTATGGAACCCAGGAGAGTAATTGCCTAAGGTCAGCAAGGACACAGGGCACTTGAGCTCAGAGCCCGGAAGTACAGCTGGGTCTTGCACAACCCAGGGCCGGGTCTGGGACAGATGACCCTGTTGACTGCAAACACAGGCCGGGTTTTGGTGGTGCTGACGCAGCTTTGTTGTGCTGCTGCTTCCAGTCCTGCAGGCTCAGCGCCTTCTGAGCAGGGCCAGTGGCTCCTCCCCAGAGGCTCACAGGGGCCCTGCCCACCCAGTGCCTCTCATACCTCTGCAGGAACCTGGGTCTCAGCAACCACAGGGTCTGTCCTTCCTTGGGTGGGCCCTGGACACCCACCCTCATGCAGACATGCTCAGAATCTGGGAGGGGGTCCAGCCTCTGTGCTCCCCACTGTCCCCAGCACCTGAGGGGGCACTTGGGATTGGGGGCATGCTGTTGTCACCACAGCCTGCTGGGGTCACATCACAGCTCAGAGCCTTCTCCCCCGAGCTGTAAGGTTAGCACGAGAATTGGGACTCTGGCCAGTGAGGAACACCCACACTCCTGCAGCTGGGGTCTGGCTGAGCAAATGCTGGATGGGTGTCAGTGGGACCCCAAATCCTGATCAGATCTGGAGAGGGAACCTTGCAGAGGAGCTGGGGGTGGGGGTGTGTCTCCATAGAGCAGGCTGCAGCCACAGGTGGAGGGAGTGAGCTACACTGCCTAAAACGGCCCGGCCCTGGAGGCAGCTGGTGGGAGACCCCAGCCGTCCCTGGCTGGAAGGACAAGGATGTGCTGGGCTGCGGGCCACAGAGGCAGCGGCTGGAGGGGCAGCTTCCTCCGGTCACACCAGGTCAACAGCACCTGGAGTTAGTGATTCCCCTAAAGTATCTGAGAAAAAGACAAGAAAAATATGAAAGCATCTGGACCTTTTTTTTTTTTGAGACAAAAATCTCTCACTCTGTCACCCAGGCCAGAGTGCAGTGGCGCGATCTCAGCTCGCTGCAACCTGCGCCTCCCGGGTTCAAGCAATTCTCGTGCCTCAGGCTCCTGGGTAGCTGGGATTACAGGCATGTGCCACCACGCCCAGCTAATTTTTTTTGTATTTTCAGTAGGGTCATGAACTCCTGAGTTCAGGTGATCCACCCGTCTCAGCCTCCCAAAGTGCTAGGATTATAGGCGTGAGCCACCACCCCTGGCCCAGCCCTCTGATTTTTAAGAATAATGCAGTGAGGAAACAGGCACTCCCCTCTGATTGTAGGCAGGTGGAAGAGGAGGCCCTAGGAAATAAAAGGGAGGGCTGGGCATAGCGTGTGGCATGGATCCCGTCCCAAACGGCCACCTCCTCAATACACCTGGAATCAGCTGCTCCTCCCTGAGGAGGGGACTCCCATTACCAAAGCTTCAGTGTGATGGAGGAGCTGTGGGAGAGCTGACCATGCCTGGGCCCAGCACCCCTTGCACGGAGGCCCATCACCTTCCCCCTCATCTGCCATGAGCTGCCCTCGTCCTTCCTCTGGGCATGTGGAGTGAATGGGCCAGGTCCTTCAAGGATGAACCAGACAGAAAGCACTGCCCTGGGAGAGAGCCTGTAGATCCCTCTCCCAAGACTTAGACTCAGACATTTCCAGTGCTTTTAGGTGGGCAGGAATAAGTAGTGTCAAGGACACACACAGGGCACTTAAGTCGTGAAGAGACCCGAGCAAGGGATCCCTGTAAGGGAGCGAGGGGCTGAGACTGGGCTTCGGGCTGGCTCAGCGGTACCTCCTCACTTTGGAATAACCCACTGAGATCTATGTCTGCCTACGTATCTATCTTCTATCCATCATCTATCAAACTATCCATATGTCATCTATTTCTCATCTATCATCCATCCGTCAATCTGTTCATCTTTTACTTTTTTCCATCAAATTAATACAACAGCTTCTATCAATCTTCTCTGTATCTATCCATCCATCTACCCATCTAATCTATCTGTCCATCCATCCATCCATGTATCTACCATCTATCAATCTACCTAATCATCTCTCTATTATAAGAAAGAGGTTAGGAAACCCCCCCCCCATCGCGCTGTCCCTGTTGGTCATCCCCAGCTTTACGTGACTGTCCCCTACCTGCCTCTCCAACACCAGCCCAGTTCACAGGGCTTGTGTACAGCCTGTCCTCGCCCTCAAATCTTCTTCCCAGACTTCCGCATGGCCCCTTGCCGTCATCCCAGGTCGCCTACTGACCTCCCTGCCCATCCCTCCTGAGCTCCCTGTGTGTCCCTCCATGCCCACCCCCACCCAACTTAGCGGGTACATCTTGTTCACTTTCCAGGTCTCCCATGAGAACAGAGCTGGGTCCACAGGCAGGACAGGCTGGAGTGGATACCTCAGGTCCTAGGACCCCTTGGGGGCTGGCAAACCCTCCAAGAAGCTAGCGTGGCTCTGAGCAGCTCCTGGGCCTGTTTTTTGTCTGTCTCTTGGCTGCTGTGACAGGTGCACAGAACCTAGCACATACAGGCAGGTGAATGAGTTCTGCCCCAGACATTTCCTGAGCACCTACTATGTGCTGGACAGTGCTGGGGACACAGGCTGCAGGAAGGTGGTGGCATCTGGTGGGAGAGCCAGGTCAGGTTAAGGATCCTCAAATAGGAGACGCACAGACAGGAATGTGGGTGCCAAGCCCTGCTCCCGACTCCAGCAGAGCCCCTTGGCCCTCAGGAGACTCAGCAAGCAGAGCCCTCATTCTTGGAGTGCCCGCCCTGGACTTGGGCTGGACTCCAGGCCCCAGCTCCGGGGGGAGAATCCACCTGGCCAACCTGTCTCTGGCGACATGGACAGTGACTCTAACCCAAGGCACCAAAGCATAAACTGCAATGGGGCCGAGAGAGTGACCAGGGAGAGGCGGCATCAGACTGGTTAGAAAGGCCTCTGGGGCAACTTTAGAGCTAAGCCCCGCCAGCCGATGGAGGCCTGGAAGGAAGCTCTTCAGGGGGCAGCAGCACAGGCTGAGGACTGAGGCGGGAACCCCGGAAGTCAGGGTCAGAGCTGGTGGAGTGGCTGGTGAATGAGCCTGGGAGTTGGTAGGCAGGGAGGTTGGGGGCAGCCAGCATGGGTATCTGAGTAGGGGAGGCCACCTGGGCTCGGGGACTGCAGGGGTCAGGGTGGACACACCCAACTGGGATGGCCCAGGGCCCAGCACAGCCATCTGAGTTCAACCCTCCAGCTCGATCCAGGGAACTTCCTCTGCTGGCCAAAGGAGCAGCTAAGACGTGATGGTCGACATCCAGCTGCCCGTGCTCGAGGTCAGGCACACAGCGGGCCCTCCCTCCTGCTTGGCTGCCAGCCAGCCCACACCACAGGCCACGGCCACATCGGGGACCCAGCGCTGGGCAGCACGCATCTGAGTCAGCCCTGGCCACGCAACCTGTGGCCAAGGCCATATCTCCTCCTCTTGGAAGTGCGTTTCGCACCCACCATACACCTTCCCATCTTCCTTTTCAACTAGCGCATCACAGAGCCACTTTTTAAATCCTCCAAGGGACAAACACAAAAGCGGAGAGAACAGTGCCCGGAGTCCAGCTTCTCAGCATCCACACGGTTCACCAGATGCCACCGTTCTCCCCCACGAGCACTTCAGAGCAGCCCCCAGGTTAGAACCCTTCACTCATGAGTGCCTCTGCTGTCACTTCAGGAATGGGGCTGTGCAGACCTGGTGTCAACATGGACACAGGACTGCAGGGTGGGGGCCACTCATCCATCTGAGGAACCGAGAGCTGGAGCCACCCCAGGTCATGGGGCTCAGCCCGGATGGGGACAGAAGAAAAGTGATGAGGAAGTTAAGTGGGGCCTCAGCCGTGCTGGAGACCTCGCCCCTCCCCTGTGTGCCTGGAAGGCTGCTTGGAGGAAAGGGCAGAGGCTGGCAGGAGATGCTCAGGTACCTCACCTGAAAGGGCCAGGTTGGAGACCCACAGCCAGATGCTGAGGCAGTGTGGGAGGAAGGATGGGGCAGGGTGGCCCCACCCCCACCCGAGGCCACCAGATGCTCCGAATCTAGTGGGATGAGGGGCTGGGACTGGGAGGGGTGGTGGAGAGTGGGTAGTGGGGGTTTGGGGAACAGGAACCAAGGGAAAGAGAGTGAAGCGCCAGATACGGGAAGCCTAGGAGCCAGATTTCCACTGGGTGAGGGGTCCTGTGAGGCAGGTGGGCCCCAAGAGTCCAGGACCTGGTCCTGGCGTGGCTCTCAGCTCCCCTCTGCCCAGAAAATGTCCCCGCTGACCACAGGCATCACTGGACACCGTTGCAGGGAAGCAGCAACTTTGGACTTGGTAGGGGAGAGACCCAGAGGTAGAACCTCAAGAGAACAATGCAGCCGGGCAGGAAACAGCGCTGGAAGTGTGCCAGGAGGTACAGGACACCACCACACACCTGCTCCTGCCCGGGTCAGAGGTCACCAGGGGCTGCCGATGCCAAGGACCTCTGTGCCTAAAACCTCACCCCAAGCCAAGATTCTGGAGGGGGTGGCCCTGGCCAGAACCACGTGCTCCCGACGCCCCTGCAGGGCTGCTGGAGAGGGGACGGGAAGGCCAGGACCGGTCCAGCCCTGGGAGCAAGGAGGTGGCACATGGAGCCCGATGAGAAACATAGGCTTTATTAGTCATTCATAATTAGAAAAGTGGGTGCTGGGTTCAGCCTGTTCACTGCTGGTGCAGGGTATATGCAAGGTCTACGGCCCTCATGGGTCTGGCTGGCTCCCTCTTGATGGCCACCAAGCCCAGGCATTGAGACCAGAGCCAGTGGCTACCACAGGGCCAAAAGTCAGCTCTGGCTCTCCAGGGTCCCTGGGTTAGGCAGCAGGCAGATGCTGGAGTCACCAGGCAACCCAGACGGCCCACGGGAGATGGGGACGCTGGTGCTTCGGCAGAGGGAGAGACATCTCCTTGTCATTCTGGAATGTCCTGAGACAGAGGCGAGCCCTGGTCCCTCATCCAACCATCCACAGACCTGCTGTGTCCCTGGGTGGGTCGAGACCCTTCTCTGGGCACTGGTCTCCGCGGCTGGCCAGTTCTGACCCTCTGGGCCATTGTGGCCAGCTCCTATGTGCCAGGAGGGAGCTGCCTCCTGGGAACAGCAGCCAAGAGACAAGAGTGGCCTATCCCATGGCGGTCAGCCACAGTCAGAGCAAGGGCTGGTCCAGGGACATGGTGGAGATGAGGCCAGCCTGGGCTCTGGCAATCTGGGGAGTGCCACGTGCAGCAAGGTGGATACCTCACGGGTACAGCGGCTCCTGGGGTCAGGCAGCTGAGTTGCAGGGCAAGCGGCATCCAGGGTCCTGGAAAGGAGATACAGGAGAGGCTCTGAGTCTGCAAGGAGGGAGAGGAGGGCTCCGAGCCTGGGAAGGAGGGAGAGGAGAGTCTCTGGGTCTGGGAAGGAGGGA